GAAGGGGTTGGAAGAGGGGAATATTGAGGTAGAAGGAAGGGATGGAAGAGAAGAGAGGGGGGAAGGGAGAGGGAACGTTCGGAGAAAGGAAAGGAGGAGGAAAGATGGAAGATTGAAGAGGAAGGAGGAAGGAAGCAGAGAGAGTGGTTAAAAGAGGGGAAGGCTAAAGAAGAGGAAGGAATAATGAAGAGAAGAGGTGGAATGAAGAAAAAGAAGGAAAGGGTAGAAAGGGGAAAGGAAGATGGCTACAAGAAGAAAAGGTGGATGGAGCAGGGAAGAAAGGACGGATGATAAAAAGGAGAAAAGGAAGGATAGATGGACGAGGAGATGGAAGGAAAGGATAGAAAATAGGCGAGAATGAGTGAAAATAAATATCAAAATTAAATCCAATGAGATTCTTTTATAAAATCTGATAACGGTAACAGTGGTATCACATCCTTTTGTATTTATTTCCATATTTGTGAAGGAAATGACGCAAAAAATGTCATAACAGTAACAATATCCCTTCTTATTTTCTCTCTATTCCCTATCGTCCGTAGCCGAATGATCATAACACCGGTAACACTAATATTTTCCTATTCTAACCTCCACCCGTCCCCCCCCCCCTTCCCCTCACCCCTCTTTCCCCTCTGCCCATCCCCATCCCTCCCCCTTTCTCCCCACCCCATGCCCATACCCTCCACTCTCCACCCCTCCCAATGCCTCCCTCTCTCCTCCTCCTCCCCTCCCTCCCCTCCTCTCCCCTCTCCTTCGCACCCCTCCCCCCCCCCCCCAGCCAAGTCCCTCTCCGCCTCCCCGCCTGCTCGTCTCCCTCTCTCCCCTCGGCGTCGACCAGCGCGTTCCGCCGGTTCGGGGGAATAATTCAGATCGGAAAAAGATGCCGCCTCCGGGGGATTTATTCCGAGCTGTGACAACGACGTCAAACAACGACGGATAGCTTCTCTCGCTCTCTCGCTTCCTCCTCCTTCTCTTAATTCTTGTTTTCTTTTTCTTTTTCTTCTTCTTCTTGTTTCTTGTCTTCCTCCTCCTTTCCCGTCGTCCTGCTCTTCTTCTTCTTTTATTTTTCTTCTTCCTCCTTCTCTTCTTCCTATCCTTCTGTCTCCTCTTCCTCTTTTTTCTCTTTCCTAATCCTAGTCCTTGTCCTCCTCCTCTTCTACCTCTCCCTCCCCTCCTCCTCCCCTCCCTCCCCTCCTCTCCCTCCTTCTCCTCCTCTTCTTCCTCTTCCTCTTCCCCCTCCTCTTCCTCCTTCTCCTCCTCTTCTCCCTCTTCTTCCTCTTCCCCCTCCTCTCCCTCCTTCTCCTCCTCTTCTCCCTCTTCTTCCTCTTCCCCCTCCTTCACCCTCCTCCCCCCTCCCCCAGCCAAGTCCCTCTCCGCCTCCCCGCCTGCTCGTCTCCCTCTCTCCCCTCGGCGTCGACCAGCGCGTTCCGCCGGTTCGGGGGAATAATTCAGATCGGAAAAAGATGCCGCCTCCGGGGATTTTATTCCTGTAGCTGGACAAACGACGTCAAACGAACGACGGATAGCTTCTCTCGCTCTCTCGCTTCCTCCTCCTTCTCTTAATTCTTGTTTTCTTTTTCCTTTTCTTCTTCTTCTTGTTTCTCGTCTTCCTCCTCCTTTCCCGTCGTCCTGCTCTTCTTCTTCTCCTTTCATTTTTATTCCTTCTTCTCTTCTTCCTACCCTTCTGTCTCTTCCTCTTTTTCTCCTACCTAATCCTAGTCCTTGTCCTCCTCCTCTTCTACCTCTCCCTCCCCCCTCCTCCTCCCCCTCTTTCCCCTCCTCCTCTCCCTCCTTCTCCTCCTCTTCTTCCTCTTCCTCTTCTCCCTCCTCTTCCTACTTCTCCTCCTCTTTTCCCTCTTCCTCTTCTTTCTCCTCCCCCTCCCCTTCCTCTTTCCCCTCCTTCACCCCTCCCCCCCTCCTCCCCCTCCTGTTCCCGACTCACCCTCAGGTCAACCAGTGTCTTTCCATTCGTCCCCAAGATCCTACATGTAACACGTGTAGTTTATTTCAGATTTGCTTTCCTTGATCTGAGTTCGAGGTGAGTTTTATACTTTAACGGAAATATGAGTGTACTTTTGTGTGTTTGTTTGTTTGTTTGTATGTATGTGTGTTTGTGTGTGTTTGTGTGTGTGTGTTTGTGTGTGTTTGTGTGTGTTCGTGTGTGTGTGTGTGTGTGTGTGTGTGTGTGTGTGTGTGTGTGTGTGTGTGTGTGTGTGTGTGTGTGTGTGTGTGTGTGTGTTTGTGTGTGCTTGTGTATGTTTGTGTGTGCTTGTGTATGTTTGTGTGTGTGTGTGTGTGTGTGTGTGTGTGTGTGTGTGTGTGTGTGTGTGTGTGTGTGTGTGTGTGTGTGTGTGTGTGTGTGTGTGCTTGCGCGCGTGTTATTTCCTCTCTTATATGAACATAATAATCATATTATACACACGGGGGACAATTACAAAATCACAATGCCGTTTCAAACATCGAAAGATTCTACCCTTTTCATGTATTAATTTCGCTGTGAACAATGATACAAATAACAAAAATGATAAAAGTGTTTCTAAGCCCATTAACATTATTACCACGATTATCTTCCCCAATATTATCAGGTTAAGTTAAGTAAGTTTATTTACCGCCCTGGCTGTGTGCTCAGGCGTGGGCAGTCGTGATTACAGATTTTTGCATATATTCGACATAGTACAGTATTTTGTGATTACTGTAATTGTACATGGTAAAATAAAAATATAAGTCATACATCATGCAAATGAATATTAAGTTGATATGCTTTTGCTACTGTATTTACATAACACTGTTTCATATTACAGCAGTTTTACATAGTAAATATAGGATATAGTTCAAGTGTATCTTCTAATGTATCAGATGAAATGAAATATTCATATACTTCTTTATACCTCCTATTAAGTGGTCTGAAAATTCTGACTCTTGACATTCCGAGATATAGTGCTCAAGTGTTCGCTTATTTTCCTCGTTGCACAGTCTCCAACTAGATTCGTCTGCACTTCTTGTACCGTACAGTTGCCAGTACATTCGGTAACCTAAACGTATTCTGGCAATAACCACGTCACATTGTCTGATTTTACTTCGGTGCCACCAGGTTTGCTATCTCAATACTGATCGCAGTGACTTATGGTGCAGTTTTCAGGTCGTGCTCGTTAGAGCTACCAGTTCTTCCTTATGAGAATCTTCCAATATATGTGCAACCCTAGGAAGAGGCATTCCAAAATCATGTTTACAGTATCTTTGCTGTAGGCATCCTTCGCCAATTTGTCTACGTGGTTGTGCTTATGTATACCAACATGAGATGGTATCCATACACACTGAATGTTGAAATTGCGATCTATTGCATAAATTACGTTGCGCTTAATGCAGCTCACAATTTCCTCATCGCCACCTGCTTTGAAAGAACTTGGTGTCCGGAGAGCACTTTCAGAGTCACAGAAAACTACTTCAGAGCCCCGAGGCCTCTTCTGAAGTGTGGCTTGACCTGACCGTAGATTTCTCACACTGATGTCAATTTACAGCAACTTCAATGCACTGCATGTACACTTGGCATGTTCGAGATGACTGGATGAATTGCAACATGACCATGTAACATTATTGCATTTGAAATTATCATCACCGGTTTGTTACTTATGAAACATTTAGTACTACTTTGTCTTACAAAGGAAAGGAAGGAAGACATAAATGAAAAGAAAAGAATAAGAAAACCATGCATATACACATATGTATGTGAAACTGAATCCACAAGATATGTCCCAATAGCTTGCAAATATTCTGTCTATTACTCCTACCATCTACCCGGCCGTATATCATCACCAACAAATACGACAGCTATGCCAACCAGGCCACCACGCCCACCATATCCGTCACTGTGATTTCAACCGTCACCATACCTTCCACCGCCACTATCCTTCCAACCTTCACTATACCTCCAACCGTCACTATACCTTCCACCGCCACTATACTTCCAACCTTCACTATACCTCCAACCGCCACCATACCTTCCACCAAACCATCCTTCCCAGCATCTCCTCCGTCAGCAGAATCAAGGAGATCGGATCCAAAATTCGAGAGGCGATGTTGACGTATGTTCGACCCCACGCATTGCATAAACACCCCGTTGCCCCGTTGTTTATTGTTTGTTTGTTTAATGCCGAGTGTCCTGTCGCTCCGTGTACGCCTTGTATTACAGCTTCTGAAAGTGGTACTACGTTAGGAAATCGGCCGAGAGATGGACTGCGGAGATCGTAATAATTTTGTCATTTTAGGAAATATCTTCTGTGTTTCATATTCATGCGGAGAATAACCTCATGCAGTTCAGGTGTGTTTGATGTACGTCGCTGAATGATACATTTCGGTGTGAATGAATTTAACCGGTTTTAGTGTTCGGATCCGACATGCTTTACTTACGGATTCGCCTCTCGTGTCAAATACTGGCGTCGCATTAGGAGCAAGGGCGCGCGCGGAGCCATTTCATTAATAGGGCCCGAAAAAAGACGCCGAACACAGCCACGAGGTCGCAGCGAAAGCCCTCCAGAATTACCGAGTGCTTCCCGCGTGTAATGGCGACATGTTTCCGAAAAGCGGCAGCCTCGAGTGGCCGACGGAGATACAGCTTCATCAAAGCACAATCGCGGACGGACGATTCCCGCTCGCAGCTTCCCCCTCCCCCCTCTTCCCGATTTTCCCTCATCTTCATCTCTGTCTCTCTCTCTTCCCCCTTCTCCTTCTCCTTTCCCCTCACCTCCGTTCGCTCTTCCCCTCTCTTCCCTTCCCCTCTTCCACCTCCTCCCCTCTCCCATCAACTACCCACCCTTCTCTCCCCACGGCCCACAAACCCCCAGCTTCCCTCCCCCACGACCCTTCCCCACGGCCTATCAACCCCCAACCCCCACCCTCCACACCCACCCACCCTTCCCCCCACGGCCCTCCCCTCTACGGCTCAGAGGGACAAACAGCAGTCAGTCTTCGAAGATTTTTCCCGCGCGCGCGACAGGCCGAACATGATGGCGAACCCGAGCCAATCATGTCGCGACACGGGCTCCGCCATGTCCACGAGCGGTAAGCGGCCGCGGGGCTTTAATAAAACAGCTGGTCGGGCGCGGGGCCACAGCCTCTTTCACTATTTCAGCTCGTTTTGCATACTGCGTTTACGACCGCCCTGATTACCGCGGGGAGGACGCCGCGCGGATCGCAACGCTGCATCAACGCCGACGACGATTTGCAACAGGCGTTTCATGAAGGCTACAGAGAGAGCGAGAAAGGAGGGGACCGATATCATATAGAAATTCCCTCTCCCTTGCTAAAAAAAAAGAAGCAATATCAGAGAGAGAGAGAGAGAGAGAGAGAGAGAGAGAGAGAGAGAGAGAGAGAGAGAGAGAGAGAGAGAGAGAGAGAGAGAGAGAGAGAAAGGGAGGCAAAATTATAACCCCAATTTAATTTAACGGCATCGGCAGCTTCAGAGCAAACGGCCGCGAAGCAAATCCGAGTCGCATTACTGTAGAGTATTCACCACCTGGGACGCGCAGGGGCGCCGCCGGCCGCTGCCACAATGATTCGGAAAGGTCAGATGGCACCGATGCCCCCAATATTAATGCGCGCTTTCGCCGCAGATGGAAGATTAGCTAAATGATGGATATTGCTGCCGGATCCATCTATGGGCACGGGGTAATTGCAGCTCGGGAATTTGGCTCTGAATCAGCTATACAGTATGCACATGTATTTGTGTGTGCGTGTGTGTATATGTGTGTGTGTGTGTGTGTGTGTGTGTGTGTGTGTGTGTGTGTGTGTGTGTGTGTGTGTGTGTGTGTGTGTGTGTGTGTGTGTGTGTGTGTGGTGTGGAGCCAACTGAGCTAAAGAGTCAGTGCGCAGACATGCAGATGCTGCCTTATATATATATACACCAATCTAGACACGTAAATGTAATACAAAAAGACAAAGGAAGAGAGATGAGCCACAATACAAGTCTCTAATAACATTAACTTAAAACATTACAAGTGAAACAGACACAAACAAATCATTTTTTTCTCTTTCTCATAGCTGTCTTCATTTACTCCATATATTCCTTCTAAGCACCTGTTTGTTACTTCGAAATAGATATACAGACAACAACTGGTATCTTATCAGGTCATTTCAATATTTAGGTCACCAATAATCTTAGTTCTCTCATCAATTAAATCACACCAGTTATCACCCGATCACTTCATTCCTTCCCCATTATTTCCTATTCCTTGTGTTATCTAGTTTTTCTAATTTTCCTTTTTCATCTGTATTTTCCAACTCTCTCCTTTAATCATTTTATGTACTCTCGCAATTCTATCATCTTCAGTTAGAGAGAGTCAGAGAAATGTGGCTTTAGTGTATATGAGAGAGAGAGAGAGAGAGAGAGAGAGAGAGAGAGAGAGAGAGAGAGAGAGAGAGAGAGAGAGAGAGAGAGAGAGAGAGAGAGAGAGA